GGGTTGGGGGGAGCTGCCCAGCAGGAAGGACAGTCCCAGCATTCCACGGCCAGGGCCCAGTGGGAGGGAAAGCTCAAGGCCCCCAGAGCACAGAGCCCTGCCACTCCCTGCCCAAGCCTCAACTTCCACACTGGAGAGAGTGAACCTCAGTTTCTCACAAAAAAGCAGACCCAAACCTGGGGTGGGGGATGCGGGTGCTCCAGCTTCCTGATGCTTCCTCCAATGTAAAAGACATCCTACACTGAAACAAGCTGACCTCCTTCTGGGTCCTGGCCCCATGTAGTTACGGGTGAACTGATATCAGCCTCAAGCAAACCACTTTGAAAGAACCCTTGTTGGTTCTCTTTACATCAACTCTGTTGGAATCCTGTACTCACTTGTAACAGATACAGCTACCTACCCAGCAGACGGTGGAAAGGACACTTTCACTGGGAAGTAGAAGACCTGGCTTCTAGCGCGGAATCTCCTCCATACCTTGTCATGTTGCCAATGCCCTACGTCTCTTTGCCTCAGTTTCCTCATCTCTAAATAGGAAAAAGTAGCCGTCCCTAATTACCTCACCCAAGTGCTGTATAAAATGAGACACGGGAGGCAAATACTCTCTGAATTCCTAAGCAGCAGTAGCATCACCACCCCCTACCACAGTGCTCACGTTTCTTTCCTCCCCACCCCCAATCCCAAAGGCCAGGAGCACAGGCAGTTAAACAGCATCACTCGAGGCCTGCAACAGGAGGAGCCCTGCATCCAGCGGCTTTTGCTGATGCCCCCAATAAAGCCGATTCTGTCAGAACCAAGAGGAAAATGAAAACATTCCTCTCTAGCAACCAGAGGGGTCTCCACCTCTCCTGTTCTCCCAGATTATCTAGCAACACTGCCCCTTCCCCAGAAAGCTCTAGATCAATGATTCTGGAAACGGTCTGAGTCCTAAAGAGGGTTTAAAACCACCAAGAGTTCCTTCCCAAGTTGCTTTCCAGATGGAACCCTTCTGAGCAACCCCATGTTTCAGTTCAGCCAGGTGAGCTCTACAGAGGAGGGCTCACTCCACATTGGGAAAATAGATGCCTGTTCTTTCATGTGTGACTTCAGTGACTTTCAGTGACTTCAGTGGCCTCACAAATGCATTTAAAAAAGCAACTGGCCATCTACAGAGTTAACCTGCCAGGCAGCCCCACCACAAATCACTGTTCCAGCCAGGCTTGTGACAAGCGTGTGTTGGCAGGGCTGGGCAGGAGAGGCTGGAACAGGTGAAGCAGGCAACCCGCTCTGAAGGACGGAGAGTGAAGGTCAAGGTTCAATCAAGAGGTGTACAAGGCAGGGCCGGGTTCAGGGAGCTCGCTGCAGGATGAGCTCCGTAATCTCCGCCCTGCTACCCAATCTCATGGGTATCCCATAGTAGGCCGTGCCTGGGCTGACATATACAAATGTAGTCTGGGCCACTTGGTAGAGACCAGCAAAGAAGGGGTTCAGGAGATAGGCTGCCACGTTCAAGGGGAAGATTTGCCCAGCATGCGTGTGCCCAGAAAGGATCAAGTTAATATCTGGCCGAGCTTGAAGGGCTCTCTTGGCAGCCAGGGGCTGGTGAGCTAGCAAGATGGTGGTGTGGTCTGGGCTACAGCCCCCCAGGGCCTTGTCGAGATCCATGCCGTGGCCAGAGTAGTGCAAGACATCTGCTTCAATATCGTCCACCCCAGCCAAGCAGATCCAGTCGCCATCCTCACCACTACCATGTTGGGCCCGGATGGCAGAAATCTTCACATTCTCATTGTGAAGGGGCTTAACATTCAGGGATTCCAGCAGCGCAAACCAGTTGCTGACATCTGATGTGTAGTACTCGTGATTGCCTGTGACGAAGTAGGTGCCGAGGCGTGAATGAAGCTGGCCCAAAGGAGCGACAGCGGTCCGGAGGGTTGAGGCTTCTGAATCACAGAGGTCACCCACGATCACCGTGACATCTGGTTCCAGCATGTTCACCATCCTCACGAACATCTCCATCTTGGTCCTGCCCACGGTGGGACCCAAGTGAATGTCTGAAAGGAGCACTATCTTGAGGTTGTCCATAGAGGGGGGCAGCTGATGGATGGGCACCTCCACTGTTTTCACAGCTGGGGGCTGGGCAGCATTCAGAAGCCCGACCACACTGAGCACAGCGGTCACCACCACGGCCAGGGCTGGCCTGAGTGCCAGCTTCCTTGTCTTGTCAAGGCTGCTCACGACTCGACCACTGCGCCAGGCCAGGAGCTGACAGGCCTGCTCCATGCCACTGAGGGTACAGAGGAAGAAGACCATGATGATGTACGCCCCAAGGCAGGAGTAGGCTGCCAAGGAAAAGAGATAGGGCTCCTCGGCCACTAAAAAGAGCATGGTGAAGAAACTGGAATGGGCCAGGGCCAGAAATGTCACAACAGCCATCTTCCAAAGCTGAAAACAGGCCGACTCTGCAGCTGAGGAATGGCTGAGGTTGCTGACTGCACTACACCAGATGTAGTGGGAGCCTATAAGCATGAGTGAGTTGGCAAACAGGGCCAGCTGCAAGCGCAACAGCCAACGCCAGGCCCTGAGCTCAAGGCTCCCCGCCAAATAAGAGCGGGAGACAATCATGGACACGAAGACAGTGCCAGCAGCCAGAGCGGCCTTCATGCCCAAGGACAGCTGCCTGAAGATCGCCATTTTCTCTGCTCCTAAGAGGGTCCCCTGCCAGTTCTGTGCGGGTGGGCTCTGGAAGGTGAGTTCCTTAGAAAGGACAGTGGCCAAGGAGAGGTTTCCAGGTCAGCTCCGCCTGCAACCAGGAACCGGCATCAGCTTTGTGGGATATTAGAACTTCCTTGTCCCCATTCAAAACCTGAAGGCCACTTACATGTGCCCAACCCACTCTGAATCCAAGCCAGTCAAATACCAGTCAGTTGCTACACTTCATTATTAAAATACAAACACACTGGATTGTAACATGACGGGCAGTTTTCCTTTTCTTACTGACAGTTTTCTGAAGGTTTAAATGTTTTCCACAATGCGTATGAACTTCTTTTATAATAAAAACATCATTCTAAATCAGCGGTTCTCAAAGTGTGGTCTGGGGAGACCTTTCCAGGGGGTCCTTTTAATCAAAACTATTTTCATCATAATAAGCCATAATAATCCTGTCTTTTCCATTCTCATTCTCTCATGAGTATACAGTGGAGTTTTCCAGAAGCTATGTGACATGTGACATGGCAAGACAGAATGCAGAAGTAGCTAGGAGAATCTGTCATCTATTAAGACAGACATGAAAGAGATTTGCAAAAATGTAACATAATGCCACTGTTTGTCATAAAATTTAGGGAGAAACATTGTTATTCTTCCAAAAAAATTAAGTTTATTGACATAACAGGTTTATTATTTCTTAAATAAACTAATAAATATTTTAAATTTTTCTGTTTAATTTCTAGAACAGTTAAAGTTTGAGAACCGCTGTTCTGGATAAATGTGAACAAGGAAATCTTGGAAAGTGAGTCTGCTGGTTATCTTTTTTCAGCTCTAGGCTCAGAAGGGACACCTAGACCCCTGACATAGGAATTCTTGGAGCAGAGCCAGCCTCCCTGTGTGGGCCTTGGGCCTGGCAGTCACAGGGCACCCCTCTGCTGAATGATGCTGCACAACAACGAGGAGCAACCATCACCCAGGTTACCTGTCCATCAGCTCCTCATCCATAAGTCTTTCTCTCTCCCCTCCCTCAACACTCCTAGACTTTGGTTAAGATCTGCCTTCTCCTCACCCATCTTTCTCTGCCACTGTTTCCTTGAACGATTCCTCAGTTCCACCCTCACCAGGAGTTCTCATAGATGGCTAGCTCTCACCGGGGGCTCCTCTAGGCCTCCCAGGAAAAACACCGGGGCAGGGGAACCCCAGACTGGGCAGCAGGGGTTAGCAAACACTCCATTTGAGGTGACCTTTTCCCAAGAAGAATCCAAAACGAAGATATTTTTACTCGCTGTTTTCCAAATACTTAAGATTTTCAATCTTGATTTTAGATAAATGTATGACTTTGCTCTAGGCACGTTATTGAAAGCCATCAAAGGGTGTAATTTACAAGTCAGGGGCCCAAATTCCACCATCTTCTACTTAAAACATGCCTCAGACTCGACCCACCCAAACTCTGGAGGAAGCAGGGTTCGCTGAACGTACCGAGGGGCAGCTACCCGTTTCAATTCCCCACCCACCCTCTCCACCCCGCGCCTTACGCAGCTGTGACGCCAACTTCTCCAAGCAGCGATTCAGAGCCCCCTCCGGCCCCTCCCTCAGCTCGAACCCCTGGGCTGAGGCTGTCCTTCTCCGGCCATGGGCACGCCCCCATACCTCACCTACACGTCCCGCCAGAACTCCCTCCAGCAACGCTGGCTGCCACCTGCAGCCTGCCCCTTGCCCACCCACGGCCTGGACCGCCAAACCCTGAAGATTTGGAAAATCCAAGCCAAAAAAGTAGGCGGCGGGGAGTGACGAGAAGGGGACGAGGGGTTTAAAAAGAGAATACTTCGAAGGCAATTAATCCAATATTCCCATTACGGGGGGGCCTCCACTGACCCCATTTTTCTCCTTCCGGAGCACTCCGCAAAGCACAAACTGGGCCAGGGGGGGCGCCCCAACCCAGAGCCCGAGGCGCCCGCCAGTAACGCGCGCTACTTGGAATTCCCTTCCCGGAAGCCTGCGAAGCTGGAAAGGTTCGGGCGCACCTCATCTCACCCCCTCGTCGCACCGATGGGGAAGTGGGTCCAGGCGACAGGAGCGACCGGGGCGGGACACAGAAGCTACAGAGCTATCGGGAAGGACGCGCGCGCCCCGCCCGGCCCGCCCCCGACGGGAGGGCCCCTCCACTGCCTGAGCACTGCCGGCTGCCTGCCTGCCGGGGCGCACTCCGGGGTCCCTGGCCCTCCGCCCTGCAGGACCCCGGTTGGCTGCAGCCCCAGCCGCGTCCCCCGCCAGCCTGTCCCTCATCAATGCATCCCCGCGCGGGGGTCCCGTGGACTTACGCGCAACCCGCGCGCAGAGCCCAGCAGCAGCGGCACCAGCAGCAGAGAGAGGAAGCGAACGACCCCCAGCATGTCCACCCTCCAGCCTCTCGGCTCCGCAGTCGGCGCCCAGGCCAGCCGCGCGGCGTCACTTGACTGAGGACCCGCGGCCTGGCACCGCCCCTCGCCGGCCTTGCCGCTAGCCCCGCCGCCAGCCCCGGCGCTTGCCCCGCCCCGCGCTTGGTCCGGCGTCAGTGGAGCCCGGGGCGGGGGAGGAGGGAGCTGCCGGGACTTGGAGGCCGCCGGCGGCCGCGTGACTCCAGGATAGTGTTATCAGGCTTTTGGTGGCCTTTGCCGCAGGGAGGGACCCTTTGGAAAGTCTATCAGGAGACCCGGCTGTCAGCAGCTTGATAAGGCGCCCGGGGGTTGGACTTTAACAAGGATCTCCTTGCTCCCTGGCTGCCTTGAGAGGACAGAAGGGGGAAATTGAGACCAGATAAACCTAAGTGGATGAGATAGGATGCTAGCCCTGCATACGGACTCTCCGGAAAGCTCTAAACCAGGGGTCCGCAAAGGGTGGTCCCTGGACTAAGCGTATACCTGGAACTTGTTAGAAGTGCAAATTCCAGCGCCCCATCCCAGAAATTCTCAATCAGAAATTCTAGGGATGGAGTCCAGAAATCTGTATTTTTACAGACCCTTCAGGTTATTTCGGTGCATGCTAAAGTTTGAGGACCTTTGATCTAGGTTACTGATAAATTTAGAGGTATGGTTCAACTGTGGCAAAATCATTCCAAGTGCCAGCCTTTAAAGCACCAGGGTCTGCAGAATTTTTTTTTCATTGTTGGGTTTTGAGAGAGAATAGCAACATCTCCCACTTTCCAGTTTTGCGCTTGAGCCTCTCCACATCCCGGGGATGCCTCAAATCTGTCAAGCGGCCTTAAGATAATATTGTCTCTTTTCACGCTTGGGAAAACGAAGGCTCTGCAGTGTGAGATAACTTGTCCAGGACCTCCAGTCACCACTAGATCCGGGTCTCAAGTTTGTGCCTGTCATCCTGTCCTTGCCTGGCCTGCCTTGCCCAGTCTTAGCAAAGAATCCTGCTGAGTCAGTTTAGGGAGAATCTCCCCACCCTTGATATCCGGTCAAGTTCCTTATCCCCGACCTCTGACTTCTAAGTCCTTGACCTGCCCTTAGGAAGAATCCCTTGATATCTCCTCTTATACTTTTCCACCCACAATCCCTCGCTCTGCTGGTTGGCTATATAAATCCCCAGCTGTCTTTGCCCTTCCTAGATTTGAGACCCAGCTCTCTCCCCTATCGCAATAGAGTTGACCCCATCACAACAGTCTTGAAGGAAGTCTTCCTTACCATTTTAACAAGTCAGAATAATTTTTTCTTTAGCGCTACTTTTTACAACTTGTGGATCTTTTAAAAACCTTAGTTTGGTTTTAAACGCTGGGAGTGATGACTATGAAAGTCAAGAATGTTGGTTACTTACGGGAGTGAGGGGCTGAGACTGGGATGGGGCCCATGGAGGGGCTTCTGGGAGGGGGCAACAAAGTTTTGTTTCTTGAACTAGAGGGTGGTTACAAGGGTATTCATAATATAACTTATTAAATCATTTATGTGTTTTGTGTTGCTTTCTGAATCTGTTTTTAAAATAAGTCAAAAGGTATTTTTTACTTTTAAAAAGTAACCTTAGCCATGTTCCAAAAAAATCTTTTATGTTGTGTAAGGAAATACCTAAAATTCCATTTGCTTCTCCTTTTCTCCCTTCTTACTGGACCTTTCTCAGGTTCTTTTCATGCCTAGAATACCAACTCTCTCTCCTTGTGCTCCTGTGAAGGCCTTTTCAGACTCTGCCATCCGAGTCCAGAACTGAAGAGCAAGGGCTTTGCACACAGGCACCCTTGAGTTGGACTTCCAACCCTGCCACTTAATGTCTCTGTGACTGTGGGCAAGTTACTTAACCTCTCTGAGCTTTAGTTCCTTCAACTGGTAAACAGACAATATGGAACTCACTGGGAAGTTGGGAGAGTTACCAGAGCTGACGAAAACGTTTTTCACAACAGGATGTTAGTGGGACAGTTGATGAAGTCAGAATTAGGCCTATAGGTTAATTTCCTGATTTTGATAAGGTTACTGGGTCTAAAGATTAAATAATAGTTTCATATTAATTTATTGGTTTTGATAATTGCACTGTGGCTACATGAGAGATTGTCCTTGTTTTTAGGAAACAAAAGGGCATTATCTTTGCAACTGACTCTCAAACAGTTCAGGAAAAAAAGTGTATACACACACAGAACCATAAAGCAAATGTGGTAAAATGTGGACTTCGGGGAATCAATCAAGGAATTCTTTGTACTGTTTTTTCAACTTTTTTCTAAGTTATTGCAAAATGAAGTTAAATTAAAAACAAAAAATCCTTAGCACCTGGCAGATTCAACTTTTCCCACCTTCTTTCCCAGCCTGTAGACCAGGTGATGATATGCAGCAGGCATTTTTAACTGAACTGAGGCAGAAAGGGTTTAACATAGGGCTTGACAAACCAGCCAGCAGCCTAAATCCGGCCTGCTGCCTGTTTTTGTATGGCCTACCAGTTAAGAATCACTTTTACATTTTAATTAAATTAAATTAATTAATTATTTGTGTGTGTGTGTGAGGAAGATCGGCCCTGAGCTAACATCTGTTGCCAATCTTCCTCTTTTTACTTGAGGAAGATGGTCCCTGACTTAACATCTGTGTCAGTCTTCCTCTATTTTATATGTAGGATGCCACCACAGCATGGCTTGATGAGCGGTGCATAGGTCCATGCTCGGGGTCTGAACCTGCTAACCCTGGGCTACTGAAGCAGAGCATGTGAACTCAACCACTGCGCCACCACACCAGCCCCATTTTTATGTTTTTAAATGGTTGGGAAAAAGTCAAAAGAAGAATAATATTTTGTGACATTTAAAAAAGATATGAGAATCTTGGCAACCAGAATTCAGCAATTCATCAAAAGAATCATACATCAGGATCAGGTGGGATTCATACCAGGGACACAGGGATGGTTCAACATCCGCAAATCAATCAACGTGATACACCACATCAACAAACTGAGGAATAAAAACCACATGATCATCTCAATAGATGCAGAGAAGGCATTTGACAAGATCCAACAGCCATTTATGATAAAAACTCTGAACAAAATGGGCATAGAAGGAAACTACCTCAACATAATAAAGGCCATATATGACAAACCCATAGCCAACATCATACTCAATGGGCAAAAACTGAACCCCATCCCCCTGAAAACAGGAACAAGACAAGGATGCCCTCTATCACCACTCTTATTTAACATAGTACTGGAGGTCCTGGCCAGAGCAATCAGGCAAGAAAAAGGAATAAAAGGAATCCAAATAGGGAGCGAAGAAGTGAAACTGTCGCTGTTTGCAGACGACATGATCTTATATATAGAAAACCCCAAAGAATCCATTGGAAAACTGTTAGAAGTAATCAACAACTACAGCAAAGTTGCAGGGTATAAAATCAATTTGCATAAATCAGTAGCATTTCTATACTCCAGTAATGAACCAACAGAAAAAGAACTCAAGAATACAATACCATTCACAATCGCAACAAAAAGAATAAAATACCTTGGGGTAAATTTAACTAAGGAAGTGAAGGACCTATATAATGAAAATTACAAGGCCTTTCTGAGAGAATTGGATGACGACATAAGGAGATGGAAAGACATTCCATGTACATGGATTGGAAGAACAAACATAGTTAAAATGTCGATTCTACCTAAAGCAATCTACAGATTCAACGCCATCCCAATCAGAATCCCAATGACATTCTTTACAGAATTAGAACAAAGAATCCTAAAATTCATATGGGGCAACAAAAGACCCCGAATTGCTAAAGCAATCCTGAGAAAAAAGAACAAAACGGGAGGCATCACAATCCCTGACTTCAAAACATACTACAAAGCTACAGTAATCAAAACAGCATGGTACTGGTACAAAAACAGGTGCACAGATCAATGGAACAAAATTGAAAGCCCAGAAATAAAACCACACATCTATGGACAGCTTATCTTTGACAAAGGAGCTGAGAGCATACAATGGAGAAAAGAAAGTCTTTTCAACAAATGGTGCTGGGAAAACCGGAAAGCCACATGTAAAAGAATGAAAATTGACCATTCTTTTTCACCATTCACCAAAATAAACTCAAAATGGATTAAAGACCTAAAGGTGAGACCTGAAACCATAAGGCTTCTGGAAGAAAACGTAGGCAGTACATTCTTTGACATCAGTATTAAAAGGATCTTTTCGGACACCATGCCTTCTCAGAGAAGGGAAACAATAGAAAGAATAAACAAATGGGACTTCATCAGATTAAAGAGCTTTTTCAAGGCAAATGAAAACAGGATTGAAACAAAAAAACAACCCACTAACTGGGAAAAAATATTTGCAAGTCATATATCTGACAAAGGCTTAATATCCTTAATATATAAAGAACTCTCGCAACTCAATCACAAAACATCAAACAACCCAATCAAAAAATGGGCTGGAGACATGAACAGACATTTCTCCAAAGAAGATATACTGATGGCCAATAAGCACATGAAAAGATGCTCATCATCGCTGATCATCAGGGAAATGCAAATCAAAACTACACTAAGATATCACCTTACACCCGTTAGAATGACAAAAATATCTAAAACTAATAGCAACAAATGTTGGAGAGGTTGCGGAGAAAAAGGAACACTCATACACTACTGGTGGGAATGCAAACTGGTGCAGCCACTATGGAAAACAGTATGGAGATTCCTCAAAAAACTAAAAATAGAAATACCATACGATCCAACCATCCCACTACTGGGTATTTATCCAAAGAGCCTGAAGTCAGCAATCCCAAAAGTCCTGTGCACCCCAATGTTTATTGCAGCACTGTTTACAATAGCCAAGACGTGGAAGCAACCTAAGTGCCCATCAACAGACGAATGGATAAAGAAGATGTGGTACATATATACAATGGAATACTACTCAGCTGCAAAACAGAACAAAATCATTCCATTTGCAATAACATGGATGGACCTTGAGAGAATTATGTTAAGTGAAATAAGCCAGCAAGAGAAAGATAATCTGTGTATGACTCCACTCATATGAGGAATTTAAAACTATGGACCAAGAACAGTTTAGTGGATACCAGGG